AGGCCGGCCCACAGCAACTCCTGGCAGAATCTGGCCCCTTCCCTCCTCTGTGAAGCTGTGCCACCTTAACCGCCAAGGCTTGCCTTTCACTGCGGCCAGTCATCTTTGTAAAATGTAGATCTGGTCATGCCCCTCTCCTGCTTAAAACCCTCCGGAGGCTCCACACTGTCCTTGGGATAGAGTCAGAATGGCCTGACTGAGTGTCCTCAAAGCCCCTACCAACTTTCCCACCCTGTTCCTGCTGGCCCCTTGCACTTCCACTGTCCTTGCAGACCTCAGGGACTTTGCACACGCTATGCCTTTCCATAAAATGTCCTTTCCCCTGTGGCTCTCAGAGTCTGGCCTTGAAGCCCGGTACAGGCTCACCTTCTCCAGAAACTCTGTCCCTCTACATGCGGTGGCCCTGCCACACTGCCCTGGGGCTTGGCATGCCTAGTCCACCAGTATCCTACAAGCCCTGAGAGTGCAGATGGGATCTAACCAGCTTGGGTGTCCAGCACCCAGCACGGGAGCTGCGCAGGACGCACACTCACACACAAAGCCATCAGGGACCTCCTCACACGTGGCAGGTGGGAGACAGGGCTGGCCGGGACACCACAGCTGCTGGGCACACGTAGGCCCTGTGAAATTGGCAGGGCAGGTACAGTGGAAGTCATTCCAGGTGACGAGGCAAGTCCCACCATTGAAACAGGGGTCAGGCTGTGGGAGAGGCAGGGCAGGGGTTGGCTCAGGACTGCAGTTAGCATCACCCACCATAACCAGCATTGCAGCGCTTCTTCACTGAGCACCTACTAACAGACCCAGTATCTCCTCACAAACGAGTGGAGAGGAAGTCGCTAGCACCCCCATTTTACAGAGGAGAAAACTGAGGCTCAGTAAGGCAAAGCCACTTGCCTGAGTCACCCAGCCAATAAAGAGAGGAACCAGAGTTCATGCCCAAGCTGTTACAACTCCAGGGCTGGTGGAATTCTGTTCATGATCAAAAGGGTGTCCTGTTCCCCAAGTAGCCTCTATCTCAGTCAGTGTGTCTCTCGCAGACCAGGACTGGCTGGGGGAGGCACGGGGACTGCTAGAGAGTAGGAGCAGCTGGGCTGAAGAGGCGGTGAATGCAAATCTGCCCTGCCACCTTCCTGTAGTGGGACCCCGGGCAGGTCACTTCACCTCCTCAGCCTCAGTTTCCTCATCAGCAAAAGGACACACTAAGCCCCAGTGATGTAGGACAGATCCTAGAACAAGGATCCCCACCCTCACCCCCGGACACTTACACTGCACATGTCTTCGGAGACACAGCCTGCGGTGAGGTTCCAGGACTGCCTGCCGCCAAGCTCGCTCGGCTGGCTTGAGTTATCCAGTGGCAGAGGAAAGAAGGGGAGGTGGCGGCCATCGAGTCGCAGGTCCTGGAGGCAGCCTCGGAAGGGCCCACCCCAGGGCTGGCTGTCAGCAGCAAGGAGCCTCCCACCCACGTGCATGTGCTGCCCCAGGTCCTGCAGCTGCTCAGGCCCGAAGCTGAGCGTCACCAGGTGACGCAGCCCATCATCCCAGCGCCCAGGGAGCACTACAGCAGGACCGCCCGGCGCCTCAGCCCGGATCCGACCCTCGCTCAGGAATACTGTCAGACCAGCTGCGGAGTCATTGGCAAACTGGAGCAACAGGCCAGCGGGCTCCCGAGTACGGAGAAGGAAAGACAGTGTGAGGTTGGGGCCTGGCAGCTCTTGAAGCAGAAAGGAGGCAGAACTTGGGGCGCCTCCCAAGCCAAAGGTGGCGGCAGGAATCTCTGCAGGGAGAGAAGGTGCCAGGTGTGAGGCCTGCAGGATGAGGGAACCAGATCTCAGGTGCTGCCTTCCCACCTGGCTTATTCCTCACCATCAGCACACGTGGGACCCCTGTGGGGTCGAGGACAGTTGCAACGGAAATGAGTCCACAGATCCACACAGGACCCTCCATGGACACAAGGCAGAGGCTGGCACTGCTCTCGGCGCTCGCAGCCCAGGAGGACGTTGTCGCCGAGATCCTCAGGCAGCAGGAGGTGCCCATCCACACGCACGTCCTGGAGACAGCCTGCAAAGGTCGCGTCCCCCAGCTGGGCGGAGGAGATCCCAGCAGGCAGTGGAGTTGCTGAAGCCGTGGGAGCCAGGGCCACAGGACCAGAGGCCACACAGAGCCGGGCAGGGCAGCCCTCATGCCAGAGCCGTAGCTCCAGGGTCGCTAGGTGGAGCACCACCTCCACCTGGTGCCAATGGCCATCGTTTAGGCCCAGGTCTGGCAGTCTCAGGATAAGCACAGTGGTGCCGTGGCTCCAGAGTGTGGCCTGAAGTGTGGCTGCCACCAATGCCAGCTCCAAGCTTTCCCTGGTGTCATTGCGAGTGGCCAAGGTCCCAGCAGGCAGCGTAGTGCGAAACCTCAGTGCCAGACCCAGGGGGCCACCAGCTGGCACTGATGCCTGAATGGGGCTCCCAGCCATCACAGAGAAGGTGGTATTCTGGCCACAGAAAGGTCCATGGGTACCAGGTGGGCAGTGGCAGACATAACTGTGGACCCCAGACTCGAAGATAGGGATGCAGGTGGCAGCCAGTGGGCAGGTGTGGCCCTGGCAGCCAGTGAGCTGCACAGAACAGTCGCGCCCGCCCCACGTCTCTGGGCACCTGCAGATATAGCCTGCCACAGTGTCACTGCAGGTTCCGCCATGCAGGCAGGGATCTGACAGGCATTCATCCACATCTTCCTCACATGTCGGCCCTTTGGGAGAGACCAAGCCAAGGCTCAGTGATGTCTGGGGCCAGAACCACAGTATTGACCCAGAACTTACATGCCTCTTGTGATGGGGACCTCAGTACCTATCAACCAAACCAATTCCCAAAGGATTTCTCATGGTCCTCTCAAGTCCCCTGTAGGCCAGAAGTCAAGATGTCCCTTCCCTTCCCATATCTGGTGAGTCTCCAGGCCCTGTAGATCTAATCTCCTAAACAATCTCCAATGCCCCCTTTCTCCCACCCTCCATCTCCTGCCTTACCAGCTCTCTGGGCGACCATCCTGCATCCTCCAGTTCACCAGCCTTCAGAAGCCCTTTCCCATCCATCTCCACCAATAGCCAGAGGTCTATTTCTAAAGCATCACCTGGCCAGGTTCCTCTGCTGCTTCAGGTCTACCCTGACATTTAAGACGCCCTCATGGGATGGGTCCTACCAGGCTCTCAAGCCTCAATCCTGCTTCCCACAAACCTCGAACCTCCCATTGCTCCAAGCATTTCCTGGAAGGTCCCGACTCTGGGGCTTTGCTCATACTGTTCTACCTGTGGAATGCCTCATTCTCCCTTACCCTTCCTTTCAAACTCCTACTCATCCTGCAAAGCCCAAACTCAAAGAGCCCAGAGGCTTTCCCTAACTCCCAACCTCAAACTACTGTATCACTCTCCAGTCATAGGCACAGCTCCGCAGAACCCCGCATTAAACGTATTTGTTTACTCAGCTGAGATCTTCAGGGACCTGAGTATGTCCTTGGTGCCCAGCAAAGGGCCTGGCGTGGCTTTTATGGACAGAGTGATGAAATGGAGGAGCTAGTGGGGTAGTGCACGCACCTGAGGCACTCTGAGTGGCCCCCCAGGCTCCAACCCCTCAGTCCCTCTGCCCCAGGGCCCTCACACTGGCTGTGAAGGGGCTGCCTCATCCTCCCTCCAGGGATCCCCTTCAGGTGCTCAGGCCCCAGCTTGGGTCAAGAAGCCATAGTCCACTGTCGCTCAGAAAGAGCCACATCCCAGCTGGAGGAACCCAGGCCCAGAGAAGCCACAGGGATTGAAGCCCAGCCCTGATCAGCTCACAAATTCCACAGCTTCCTCCTAGGAACCACCACCCACCAACCTCCTCCTGCCCAGGGCCCACATTCCTCCATACCTGTCAGGAGCCACAAGTGGCCCAGGAAGGTCCACAGAGCCCCCGGCTCCATTGCCATGCCCTCCAGACAGGTTGAGAGTAGTGGGCGGGCACTGAGGCTGGGGAAGTGGGGAGGGACAGAGCTCCCTGCCCGGCCCAGTTGCCTCCTTCGGAGCCTGCTCAGGAATGCCAGGCACTGGCCTCCCCCATGCCCAGCACGGCCTAAAGGGAGGGAGGACAGGCAAAGAGCCCAACCCTGCAGCTGGGGTCCCCCCTCTCTGGCTCTGACCTCAGAGGTCTGCCCTCCCTGTCACCCAACAGCTAAGCTCAACTGGGAGAGGAGCCGGGTTCCCGCTGATACTGGTAAACCTGGGGGATGACACCCCCTCATCCTCTCAGCTGTAAGATGGGGTTTTAAACCCCTGCCTCATGGGGCTGTGTCAAGGAAAAAACAAGATGTAGAGCAAATGCTTCCCAGAGGCCAGACGTGCTGTGTGGGCCCACTGTGTGCCAGGCACCCAGGAGGCCATGGCTCCTGGGTGGAGGCAGTGGATGGGCCTTCAGGGCCCCCAGGAGTGTTGGCCATCCAGCGCTGGGGGACACTGAGTCCCACCACCCATCCAGGGCTGGGGGACACTGGGTCCCATCATCTTCAGGTGACGGAGGGAGGGGGAGATGTGATCACCATCTCTTTCCCCTGGTAGAGGAGGCTGTGCCCAGGAACCTGCCAGGGAGAGGAGGCAGAGTGCCCCAGCAGGAATGCGGGCGGGCGCGAGGGAGTTGTCACAGGCATTCCAGAGGGGGCAGGGACATTCAATGTTGGAGGTGGAGTTCCCTGGGCTCACCGGTGTCCTATGTCTGTGCGTCTGCATGCACCCAAGGCAGGGGGAGACTTTCTGAACCCCCAACTCCTGCCTGACAGGCCCCAGCTCCCCAAAGGTCAGAGTCATCTTTCTACAGATGCTGCCCCCTAAATCTCTGCAATAGCCCCTATGTCCTTCTCTGTCCTGGCTGAACCGCCTCCGTCTTTCCTGAAGACCGTCCCTCCACATGTTCTCCCAGACAACCTCAGCCCACTATGGCCCCAGCTGCCGGGACTACACACCTAAGCCCCAGTCTCACCTCCAAAGTGAGTCCTAGTTCAGCCACCCTCAGCGGTCACCTGGGCCCTCATACCCACCTCCTCCCTGATCTCCTTAACCCCATCAATCCACACATCCAGACAGAAGGGACCTTCTCACCGAGGACCACCAATTCTGATGGTGCCAGGGCCCACCCCACCCCAGACACCTGCGTAGCCATCTGGGCAGTGACACTGGAAGCCATTGGGCAGGTCCTGGCAGCGGCCTCCGTTGAGGCATGGCCGTGAGGCACACTCGTCCACCTCCACACCGCAGTCGGCTCCTGCAAGAGGCCCAGCTGTGGGTCCCACCTGCACCCTGAGAGCCAGGCAGGGGCTGAGAGGGTCTATTCTATAGCTAGGGAGACTGAGTCCAAGAGAGGGCAGTCGCGGGTGTGGGGTGGGGTGGGGGTGGGGCACAAGATCCCTCCCTGGGCATCTGGACACGGGCTGACCACTTCCCCAACAGGGGCTCACCCTCAAAGCCAGGAGGGCAGTGGCACACGAAGCCCGCAGCGTGGCGGAAGCTGAAGGTACCAGGTAAGGTGGCCTGGACGCCCCCGTAGAGGGCCGGGTCAGAGCGCTGCAGGCATCGGCCCCCGTGCTGGCAGGGGCTCGATGCACACTCGTCCTCGTCCACCTCACACAGCTCGCCGCTGTAGCCTGGGGACACACACATGCAGACATCAGGTCTCACAGGGTTGCCAGGCAGCACCTCTTCAGCAAGGGACCGTGGCTCGGAATAAGCCACGAATGGCGAGGGAGGGACGCACTGAGGGCAGCAGGGATGACCATGGCAGCCTTCAGCAGCAGCGGCCGATTGCTGCTGTTACTGGTCTTACTACTATTTTTCCTTTTTTTTTGAGACAGAGTCTTGCTTTGTTGCCCCGGCTGGAGTGCAGTGGCATGATCTCAGCTCACTTCCACCTCTCGGGTTCAAGCGATTCTCCTGCCTCAGCTTGCAGAGTAGCTGGCACTACAGGAACACTCCACCATGCTCAGCTAATTTTTGTTTTTTTAGTAGAGACGGAGTTTCACAATGTTGGCCAGGCTGGTCTCGAACTCCTGACTTCGTGATCTGCCCGCCTCAGCCTCCCAAAGTGCTGGGATTACAGGCGTGAGCCACCGTGCCCGGCCTAGTCTTACTACTATTACTAGCGTTAACTACCGAGCCCTTTGCAGCTGTCAGGCCCGTCCCAAGGGTTTCCCAGGCGTCGCACCTTCACTCTTCCCGCAGCAACCCCAGGAGCAGGCGCTACGATCAGCCCTATTTTGTAGATCAGGAAACTGAGGCTCCGACAGGTTGCAATCACACACACACTCTGGTCCCGAGGACCCAGTAGGCACTCGCGCACAGTCACACATCTGCCCCGCCTCCCCAGGCCGCACGCGCGCACACCTACCCCTCCACCCCAGGCCACGCACGCATACACAGTACCTATCCGGCTACCCCAGGCCGAGCACCTGCATGCACACACCTGGCCAACAGAGGCAGCGGAAGCTCCCGAGACCCTCGAGACAGGACGCGTTGTGCGCACAGGGCGCCGATGCGCACTCCAGCACCTCCTGCTCGCAGCGCGTGCCCTCGTAGCCGGTGCCCGCGCAGTCGCACCGGAACCTGGGGAGGGTGCGTGGGCGGAGCTGAGCGCGTGCCCGCCCCTTCTGCCCCGCGCCTGGGCCTCCCCGCACTGGGGCACCCGGCGCCCCAACCCCCTGCCCCGCCGCTCGCTCACCCATTGACCAGGTCGTGGCACGTGCCCCCATGCGCACATGGCTGGCTCTGGCACTCGTCAAGGTCCAGCTGGCAACGGGTGCCCCCGTAGCCCGGCGCGCACACACAGCGGAAGGAGCCCACGCCGTCCAGGCACGAGCCCCCGTGCACACAGGGCGCCGAGGCGCACTCGTCTACCTCCGTCTCGCAGGTCACGCCTGGACAGGGCAGGGGACACAGGGCGCAGGATGAACACCCAGACCAGGGAGGAAGAGGCCGAGCCAGGCCTGCTGCAGAGTTAGAGATTCGTGGGTTCATTCATTCAGAGCCGGGTGGTGGTGGTGGTGGGGCGGGGTCGGGGGGTCACGCCAGCAAAGGCAGGGAGATAAACGAGACAGACAACCTTGCCCTCATGGGGCTCACAGCAGTCTAGGCCAGTACATGGTGGGGGTGGGTGGGATTTGGCCAGTAGTTACGTAAATAAGCTGGGTTTTGATGTTGCCAAGTTCAACAAGGAAAGGGGTTGGGTCTTGGGAAAGCAATAGCCGGGGTCTGCTCTGTTCAGGGAAGGCTTCCTAGAAGAATAGGCTTTTGAAGGATTCAGATAGAGGACTGTGGGCAGCAGTTGGATTCCAAAGAGACTGCAGCAGGAGGCAAGTTCTGCTCCGGGCCAGGGCCATGATGCCCTAGGCGGGGTGCTTGGAGGGTTGGAAGCAAGGGAGAGGGTGGAGGAGGTGAGTCGGGTGGGAGGTGTTAGTGCCTTGAGGACCAGGTAACCTCCGGGTCCATCCTGAAAGTTTCAGACAGGTAAGTGACTTGGTCCCACGTACATTTTAGGTTTTTTGTTTGTTTGTTTGTGTTTGTTTTTTTTTAGACAGAGTCTCGCTCTGTTACCCAGGTTGGAGTGCAGTGGTGCAATCTCAGCCCACTGCAATCTCTGCCTCCGGGGTCCAGGCGATTCTCATGCCTCAGCCTGCAGAGTAGCTGGGATTACAGGTGCATGCCACCTCACCCAGCTAATTTTTGTATTTTTTGGTAGAGAAGGGGTTTCACCATGTTGCCCAGGCTGGTCTCTAACTCCTGGCCTCAAGTGATCTACCCACCTCGGCCTCCCGAAGTGCTGGGATTACAAGCATGAGCCACCGCACCTGGCTCTACCTATTTTTTAGAAGGTCCACTTTGGTGGCTTTCAGACCCCAGAGAGGCAGGAGATGCTTGAGTAGGGTAATCACTCCTCCTGGTGTCCCTGCACTGTCCTGGTTTTAGAACTGAAAGTACCAAGTCCCAGGAACCCTCACAGTCCTGGGCAAATCAAGACAGTTGCATGGCTCTCCCATGGTGAGGGTGAAGAGGAAGGGAGATGGAGAGTCCCGGGTTTCAGATACACTGCCTGAGATCATCCTGGACTCACGTGTCACTGTAGACTCCAGTGAGTCCTGCCCCCTAAGTGGGTTTGGTGAAGGGGGGGCCAGAGGCCCAGCTGACTCCAGCTGGAACCCTCCCCCTTCTCAGTTCATTGAGCACAAAACATGGCCCCACCTTCCCGTGACCCTTCCCTCATCCCTCCCCATCCCCACTCCCACCCTCTGTGCCAGGGGGAGCCAGGCCTCGTCTGGAAATCCCGAACTCCCCCACCCGGCTTGGAATGGAAAGAGGAGAGCATGAGTCACGGCAGATGCTGCCCCCACTCACATCCACAGCTTACCCAGGAAGAGTCACCCGAAGTGCGCGAGCACTACACATCCAGGTGCACAACCCACTGCCCGCGCAACCCACTGCCCACACAACCCACTGCCCGCGCAACCCACTGCTCACACATGCACTCAGACTGCAGAGACACCCCCAGGTACTGGCAGAGCTTTACGGATGCAAAACAGATCTTGGAACTAGGAGACACACAGACGGATGTGACCTGCACTGGCATGTACACTAATACACCCAGACACCGAGACACTGGAACGATGAGAAAGATGCATGGAACTAGCTTCCCAAATCTCTCTTCATCAGCTGCCATCGCTTCGCTATAGGCCCCCTGCCCTGCAACTCAGCCCCCCAATCTGTACCCCTTGCTCTGAGGTAACTTCAAACTGCCCCCTGCCCTCAGAGTACAATTGTCTGAATTCAGGATTGAAGTAGAATCCAGAGCATCTACACTGCAGACTCTAGACTGCCCTGGACTTAGCCTCGCTCCCAGACCTGTCCCCAGCTACGCCCTCCTTCCCGACTTCAGGCCTCTCTAGGAAGCCGCTCCAGGATGCCCTCAGCTCAGACCATGGATGGGCCTGGGACGGGCCACACTCTGGAGAAGGTACCCTCAATGCCAGTCACTTTTCTGAGCACTTACGTATATATTATCCCACTCCAGACAGCGGCGAGCCCTGGGGTACGTCAACATTACAGTTTGAACGAGACCACGTATGTCTCTATGCTAGAACTCTGGGGGAGACCCAGAGGCCAGGGATCCACATTGCATTCCAGACCACATCAGGAGTGTTCAGATGAGCTAATGGTGCTTGTCATGTCGACGGTGTCTACATGACAGCTTGGCACAGGCCTGAAGTAAGTGCTAGAAAGACTATCTGGGCATCCTCACTAAAGTCACGCCAGGCATGTCCACACTGCCAGAGATGTCTGAGGGGTATCTCCACCCCCAGAGCCAAACTGAACTCGAGGCTGGACTGAAATCACATTTATCGAGTGCCTGAGATGTGCCACACACCATGCCAGCACCCGCACATACATACTCTCACCCAGAGCTGCCAGGTAAGCCCGCAAAGCATTAGTTCTGTAGTCAGACCAAGTGGGTATACCCTAGAGCTGCCCGGATACCTGGGGGCATCCGTCCCTACACGAAAGTCAAAGCTGAAGCCACAATGCTTGCACTCTGAGCAGCTGATGGGATCCGTATCACAGACCTCCTCCCAGGGCGGCCCAGGCTGTTACCTGCATAGCCAAGGGGGCAATGGCACTCGTAGCGATCGGCCAGGTTGCGGCAGGTGGCCCCATGGTGGCACGGCCGGGATGCACACTCATCGATGTCCAGCTCGCAGCGTGGGCCCTGGAAACCCGGCACGCAGTAGCAGCGGAAGCCGTCGGGATCCAGACCCTGGGGCACACACAGAGCGCCGTGGTGGCATGGCTGGGTGGCACAGCCCCGGGGCTCTGTGGGCCCGCAGGTATAGCCACCACTCTTGGTAGCCTGGCACTCGGTCCCTGGAGCACATGGGTCTGAGGCACAGGCACTGGGGGGCTCTGAAGGCACCGTCCCTGTAGAAAGAAGAAACTGGCTGGGCAGGGTGGGCAGAGGTTACAAGGACAATCTCCTCCCCACCCTCTCAGGCCCACCCCAGACCCCGAAAGCAACATGGGTCTCTCCATGCACAGGATGGATGGAGGGTCAGGGGTCTGCAAGCCAGGTCCCAGTAAGCTGCACACATCTACACCCAGAACTGACAACGGTTTTAGGAGTCTATATAGCAGAGAAATAGGACCAAGGATGCCTGGCTCCTGGGCAGGATTAGTGAGCAGAGGCTCCCTGACGCTGTGAGCTTCCCTCCACTGTCTTGTCCCTGCCGGCCCCCTTTGAGGTAGGGTCTGCCATGCCCATTGCACCCGACAGCAAAAGGAGGCCCAGGAAAGTAAGTGAAGGCTTGCTGAGTCTGCTCGGCCCTGTCCACTTCACACAGCAAGTTAGTGTTCGCTGGGACAGGCTTCAAGGTCTATCCGGGTTATTTCAGCTCCGCCTAGGGAGGGGTCTGCCTCCTGCAGGCCCCATCCATCTGAGGAGGTCCAAGAGGGTGAGGCTCCTCCCACTGCCCCCTCCACCTCTTCTGCCAGGGGTCTGGTAACTCCATCCCTGGGTGAAACTGGAGATGGGCCCGACCTCAACCTCGGGAGGATGGGTGGACAACTTCAAAGGCAGGGATCTTGTGCTCCGCTGGTCTCATTCCTACCCCTTCTCTACCTCACTACCCCCCACACCCTCCACCAGCCACTGGCCTGGGAACTTCTAGAGGGTCCCTGGCCCTCATTTCATCCCCCATCAGCAAACACCTAAGTGGCCAGCCTGGCCGAGGTCGTGTGGTACAGAGCAGGTACTGAGATGGCTCACGGGACACCTGCCCCAGGCCACCGTGATGCTTCCAGCACTGGAGCTCTCTCTAACAGAGGGTCACCAACTGGCTTGGAAGCCACGCCCAGAGATCCTCATCCCCCCTTCCTTTCTTCCTGCCTTCCTGAGAGCCTTGTCACCCCAATGGCCAGGCGAGGACTTGGGCTTTGAAGTGAAACAGCCCTGGGTTCAATTTCAGCTCAGAAAGTTCCTATGAGACCCTGGGTAAGTCATTTCTCCCACGGAGACTCCGTTTCTCAGTCTGAAAGCTGGAAATAGAACCCCCTCATCAAATGCTGAGCTATTCAACCCCTCCGCACCGAAGTCAAGGGCTGCTTTTGGTACGAACTCGGTAAGGATGGGGGAGGGGAGCCTCCAGAAGACACAGCCCCTATTCCTTCCCCCACCCCCACCTGCAGCTCCCAGAGGTGCCCCTCCCCCACCCAGGTTGTCATCTAGACACTAACCAGACCCCACAATGGCTCAGACCCTGCACCCTTCCCTCCCCCACTCTGGTGAAGCCCCCCAGATAAGGCTGGCAGCCTCTCAGGCGTCATCCGCATTCCAGGCAGGGCTGTCCTGTGGCCTGACCCGCATCCTTCCAGCTCCTTCAGGAAAGGGCACAGGTTTGGGGCATCGGGCAGTCCTGGTTTGTATCTGGGGTGCAAAAAGTGCCCATCTCGTGGAGGTGTTGAAAGGATTCACCAAGGTGATGTGGGGCACAGCCCTGAGACTAGGTGTGGCCAGCACTGCTCAGGAGGGTGCAGCACTCATAACCCATGGTAAAGGACCCCGGCTGCCGGCGCCTGTGCCAACAGGCCCCTCACTTAATCCCCCCACAGAGCACTGTCCCTCACCTGTGCAGTACAAGGGACCAGCTCCCCCATCCCCCTCCCCCCGCTCGCTGCCATCCAACCCGAAGCTTTGTCCCCTATCTCAGAGCAGTTGGGACCGTGCCGGGGAGGCAGCACCAGGGAAAGGATCCTGGGGGGCGGGGGAGGTGCCTTGTCACAAGGGATCTTCCCAGGACCATGGGAGCAGATGGGCTGTAAATGACAGAGCCCTGGAGACAGAGTCCAACCCCATGGCAGGAAGGAGTTTCTCCAGTCAGAGCCAGGAGGGGAGGGAAGGGAAGGAGCTGCCCGTCCTGGGAGGCATGCAGTAGTGCCACAATCCTGCCTGGGAGGGACAGCCATCTTTCTTGTGTCATCTCGGTTGATCTTGGCATTTACCCTCCGAGGTGGACAGTATGATGATCCCCGTTTTACATTTCAGGAAAGGGAGACTCGAAGCAGCCTCACCGTCCACGGCCCGAGTGAGGCTGGAATTCAAACCCAGGGCCTCACTCCAAGCTTCCCGGAATCACCGGGGTGCACATTAAGAATACAGATTCCTGGAGCCCACTCCAGACCCCACATTTAGAACTGGGCCCTGAGCCTGAGAATCTGCATTGCAACCTGCTCCCACGGGATTCCTTTCACTTTTAGGTGTGGGAACCGCTGACCTCAGGTTGTCTGTCTTCCAGGAGTGAGCCTAGGAGGCCACCATAACCCAGGCCAGACAGGAGAGGCAAGGAGGGGCGGGGTGTGGAGGGCAGCAGGGCGGAGGAGGGGCTGTTCCCCGGGCCAGGCTGGAGGGGCGGGGCCTGTTGCCAGGGCAACGAGGGGCCTGTGCTTATCTTCACAAATCCCTCCTGACCTCAGGCTGCCTGGGCCGACCTGGCAGGGAGGGATTAACGGACACCCGCCCCTCCCCTTCGACCTGCTGCCCTGTCCTGGGGAGGGCAGGAGGACCCAGCTGTTTACTGAGTGCTTACTATGTCCTTGGGCCTGTGCGTCTATTATTACATTGTTATATTTGATTCAGACCAGAAAAGGTGGGTGCTATTAAGAACATTTCTGTTTTTGTAACTCAAAGAGGTTGATACTTTTGCCCCAGGTTGAGATGAAGAATCAGATCCACTCCTGATTTCCCAGAGGTCCACATCTCCCAATGCATGTGAAATTTCCACTTTGCAAACGCTAAATTGCCACCCACATATTGTCACTTTAATACATTTTAACTGCCTCACCCTGGAACAAAATCTCTACAGGTTTTCACAGGAATACATCTTCCAATATCAGCCTGGGCAGAGTGGGCAATCTTCCCCGTCTATCCAAAATCCAGCTGTTAGCAATCCCACTGTGTCTCAGGTCTCACTCATTAGTAACACCTACTTTTCATGCACTTATAATAGGCCTGTTTATAACAGCCAACAACTGACGAGAAGTGTTTTACTGAAGCCAGGGGTAGCGGCTCGCACCTGTAATCCCAGCACTTTGGGAAGCCTAGGTGGGAGGATCACTTCAGGCCAGGAGCTCAAGACCAGCCTGGCAAACATAGTGAGACTCTGTCTCTACAAAAACAAAACAAAACAAAAAATGAGCTAACCATGGTGTGGGTCCCTGTCGTCCCAGCTGCTTGGGAGGCTGAAGTGGGAGGATGGCTTGAGCCAGGGATGTTGAGGCTATGATTTCATCACTGCACTGCAGCCAGGGCAGCAGGGTGAGACCCTTCCTCAGACAAAAAAAGAAAGAAAGAAAGAAAAACCACAAGCAAAAAAAGAAAGTGTTTTACTGGGGAAGCTTCCTTTCCCAACAAATCGAGAGACAGAATATTTCTAAGAAGCGACCTAAGACCTCCTAAGGTGTGGGAACTTCTAGCATAGGGGAAGAAATTGTTCATCTAATATCCCTGCGCCCCAAGGCTCTACCCCCGCAAGGGTAGGGCTAGATAACCATGGAGGCTTACAGACGCTCACTCAGTCATCAGGAAAGGGTGAAATACTATTTTGGGCAGAATAATTTGGAATACTCTTTTTCAAAACTGTTTACCTTCTGAGGTTAAAAGACATAATTCTGATAACAGTAATTGCAGCAATAGCTGTCAGGGACGGAGCACCTACCCCGTGCCTGGCACTGACGAACCCTTGAGTTTGGGCTCAGAGCACAGTTCCAATGAGTTACCTCCTGAAGTGAGGGGGAGACAGAGCAGGCGGGGTTCCCCACCTGCCACCCAAACAGGCCACTTCTAACAATTTTACTATTCACGGTTCGTGGGCTTCCATCTAAAATTTCCCTTGAAATTGGGGGTTCCATGCCAAAACCTGGGGTGGGGAACCACTCACTCCCTTCTCTTCGAATCCTTGTACTAGCGCTCAGAGTGAGCCAGTCCTCGTTTTGGGGAGACAGAGAAGAGAGGCGACTTTGCCTAGGCTAGTAGCACAGTGTACTGTGAAATGCCAGCACTGGCTCTGGGGCTGCCTGGCTCTGGGGCTGCCTGGCTCTGGGACTGGCCATCTCTGGGCCTTGTTTACCTCCTCTGTAAACTGGGGGTATCAGAGCCGACTTCATAGGCTGTTGGGAAAATTAAATTAGACCTTGTTAATAGCACAGTGCCTGCCATGGAGTGGCTGATCTTATTCATCAACAATTATTTACTTGAGGCAGACACCCACTGTCCAAAGGATCCTGACATTGGGTGGAATGTGTGTGTCTTTCTGCTCCATCTCTGCTTCTGTCCCGAAGGCTCCCACCGCCTTCTGGCTGGAGGAGGGGCCGGACTTGGGGCCTGAACTCACTGCCCCTTTGTCTGCTGGGCTCCCTGGGTGTTCGGGGAAGGGAGGGTGGATATGAGAGCCCAATGTGCCCCATTGTACTCCAAGATGCTTGGTCCTCTCCATGGCAACCAGCCGGGCCTTTGTGGCAAATTGGGACCAGGATGGAGGGGCCCAGCTCAGGGCCTGGCAGGGGTGGGGAGCAAAGCCAGGGGCCCATGGCCTTCAGAAGCCCCCATCCCCTCCAGGATGGAAACTGGTTTTCAAGTGACAAAATCCCCAGTCACTCCCCTCCCGGCAGGCAGGCTAGGGTACCAGTGTGCAGAAATGGTCATGCCTGCAGTGTCCCCCACCAACTTTTAGGGATCCCCAGGGATGGGGCTCCCAGCACAGAAATGGCAGAGGAAGGGCTGCCCGCTCCTGGGTGCCCCAGCAGGCCTGATGGGGTGAGAGTATACACAGTGTCCAGACCACCCACAGCCTCCATCCACTGTGTGCCTGCAGGTCCTCTGTGAGTGCACAGAGTGTGAATGTACATATGTCCACACATGCGTGTTGGGGTGTGCACATTGGTGTGCAAGCACATGCCATGTGTGTGCACATGTGTGTAGGTGCATGTGCTGGTAGATCCACGTGTCTGTGGCACCTGTCCCTGTGGCGCTGTGTGCCCTTGGGCGTGCCACACAGGTGTGTGGAGTGTGGGTGTGTGAGCACAGGGCAGGGGACAGAGCCCCGATCCACAGACCGGATCTCATGTGCTTTGTATGCAGAGAACAGAGAGGAGCAGCCACCACCCCCCACCATGCCCCGCCCCTCTACAGAGTCCAAGTCACCTGCCAGCAAAGCCCAGCTCATAAGTCCCCATCCCTCTCTGAACCTTGGTTTCCTTCACTATAAAATGGGGTCCACATCCTCCCTAGGGCCCCATAGAGAGGCTAGGAAATGAAAGCTTTGTGAGTGCGGGAAACATGAGGGTCCCCAGGTGGGACTGGGAGAGGCTTGGCCCCCACACCCTGCAGCCTGTGGAGCTCTGGGGCAGGGAGGGCTCCCCCAGCCTCAGGAGAGCCCAGGCCCTCCTTGGCTGCCTCCCCAGCCTGTGGTGGTGGTGGGGGCAGGGGACTTCCCATGCCCCGCCCCTGTAACTATAGTAACTAACACCAAGCGTTCCCTTGGACCCCCCAGGAGGAATTCCAGCCTTCGAGACCTTGGACAAAAGCAAAAAGGGCTTGGCGAACGGGGTCTGGCTTCAGGGAGCCCTTTCAGATTGGCCTTGGAATGCTGGGGAGGGGGCGGCAGGAGACACACACGTTCCCAAATCCCCAGACACCCCGCAGGGACCCAAAGCATCCCCAGCAGCCCCCAGCTCGCAGGCAGGGCTACCGCACAAATGCAGGGGCGCGGGCAGGGCTACAGCACAAATGCAGGGGCGCGGGCAGGGCTACAGCACAAACAGAGGGGTGCGGGCAGGCACCCAGCTCCCTAGCTCTCCCTCCCGCTTCTCCACCCAGTCCCCTGAGTTGGGGTCTGCGGTGCCCATCCCACACCCCTCATGTTGAGAGCAAAGACCCAGTTCAACCCTGGACAACTTACACCCCACAGCGCGTGCTGGGACACAGCTCACCACACCCAACTCCTCCGACACAACTCACGGCTCACCCCAGACAGCTCATCTACCTCCCAACTCTAACACACCCACAACCTGTGCCCCACAACCCAGCATGCGACTCAGAACAGGCTCCAGGGTGAGGCTCACGCCACCTGCAACTCCCCAAACTCAGCCCCTAGAAACCCAGAAGTTTCCCAGCCCCAACCCCCAGCCCTTTACAGGATGCAACAGAGCACCTCCCAAAACACGCACCCCATCCCTCACCCGCATCAGCTCTCTCAAATCACGCCCAGCCCCCAATGACCCAACCCCGAAACTTACAACCCCCAACATGAAACAGCCCCCCAAGTCTCAGAACACACTCACCTCCGTGGAGCCCCACAGAGTCTGGGGGCCCACAGCTGCGCACTCCTGTGCACCCCACAGCTCAGGCCTGCACCCACGCGGACCAGCCCACCCGCCGCCCCAGCAGCCAAGGCTTGGGGTGTCTGCCCTGGGGGACAGATCCTCTCCCAGGCCCCCCCAGACATGGGCCCCAACTCACCAGCCAGGAGGGAAAGGGCAGGGGCCCAGAGCAGCAGCAGCAGCAGCAGGACATAGGCCAGGGGCTGGGGGTCCTGGGTCCCAGGCCTGGCCAGCGCCATGGCAGCCCGCTCTGCTCGGCTGCTGTGGGAACCGGAGGGCGGCCTGGCTGGCTCCGCACCCCCCTCGTCCCTCCAACCAGCACTAATGCTGTGGACAGAGGCCCAGCCCCTCCCTCCCCTCCCCGCCGCCGCCTCCTCCTCCTCCCACCCAGGCCTCCTGGGCTGCTCCACCTCGTGGAAGTCCCCAGACATCAGCCCCAAGTCCTCAAGCCCCCCAGCCTGTGGTGCCGACCTGGTCTTGGCACCCACCCGTTTCTCCCTCTTGATCCCCTGCCGCACTCTCCTCCCACCTTTCGGGTCAGCCTCCTTGGAGAAATTTCTGTTCTCAGGGGCTGTTCAGAACTCTCTTCTCACCAGGTAACGCCAGCTACTCCCAAGTCCTTAGTTATCCCCTCTCCTGGATCTCCCCTCCCCACCTCTCCAGCCCAGGCCTCTCTGCCAAGCCCAGGCCTGCGAGTCTCCCTGCAAGACCGACTGACCCTGTGTCTACTGGGAAGCTGCAGCCCCTCCCACCCAGCTCATTCCCCTACCTGCTGCTCCCCAGTGCTCCCACAGGAGCCAAGGTACCTCCCACCCTGCAGCCCAACGCCCCCTCCCCACTGCCCCCTCCCACTCCCCACACCCAGTCAGCCTCCAGCTCCTGGCCATGCCACCTTCTCAGTGTCTCCTGCTGTCCCCACCCCATCCCACCCTGCCACACACAGCTCCTCCCACCATCGGCCTCAGGATCAGACCTAGGCACCTCAGCCCTGCACCACGGCAGCCCCTGCCTCGCTCCACCCTCTCCACCCCTCACCAGCCAAACTGAACCTTTCCCAGCTTCCTTCCACTTGGCCTTGATCTCTGGCTCTGCCGTTTGCAACTCCAGAGACCTCACTGCAATCCAAAGCAGCCCATTCTACTGAACGGCAGCTCTAACCAAGCAAGCATTGCTCTCCCCTGCCGGGAAGTCCTTCTTGTTGTCTAACCTTATAGTCTCCTGCTGCACTCGATGTTTGCTTGCTCTCCAGCTGGCCTCTTGTTGGGGTGGACAGGAGGAGCTCTTCAGGGCAACCTGGTTCAGGAATCCAGGTCATCTCAGAGACACTACAACATAAAACAACATTACTTTCTGCCACTGCCCTCAGCCCCAGTGGGGAGAGAATCCTTTTGCTGAAGGGACTTTCCTGAAATGAGCCACCGGCCGCTGCCAATGCATGCCTGTTTGTCCCTATTCAGTAACCGTGGATACAGCCCACGCAGGCCCTGGGCTCTGGGATGTGTCTCTGACATGGGAGGACACAGCCTGGAAAGACAGCAGGAGCCATTGAGGGAGGTCCAGACGAGCTAGAGGGATGGACAAGGGTCCCCTGCAGTGCACAGGAGGGAGCGGTGGGCACCATGCAGGGCCTGGTTGACCCTCTAGCCCGGGGCAAGTGCTGCAGCCCTGGGTGCCCAGGGACCCAAGAAGGGAACCCAAGAAGCCCTGGGCAGACCCCTTATCCACTGCCCCTACCCCATCCCCACCCTTGAGGCCAGTTCTCTGGGACAGGGATTGCCCCTTGGTTTCTGGGACCCTAACCTCTCAGTCCATCGTTAATCCCCTGCCTCCCCAGTACAACAGGATCTCCCCTCCCTAGGTGGGAGAAGCCCCTCTCCATGCCACAGGAAAAGCAGAGACCTTACAGCTCAAGAGATCTGGGTTCGACCAGATCAGCCACTGATTAGTCAGTGACCTCAGCACGTGACTTCCTTCTCTGGGCCTCAGTCTCCTCACCTGTGAAAACATGCGGCATTAGTGAGCCGAGGCAACAGTGCCAGCCCTCTTTATCCAGCTTCTCGGTGATCCCCCAGAGACCCAGGCAATCCCAGTGGGGGGTTGGGGGGAGCACGGCAAGTCAACCACAGCCCTCTGGTTCTCTGGATGCACAGACACAAACTCCCACACGTTCACAGAGCGGGGAGGTCACCGGGCGCAGGTCCAGGCTCCTCTGCAGCCCGGCCCCCAGCACTGTCCTGCAGCTGCCATGCTCCACCTTGTGGCCAGACCTGGAAATGTCCTGCGAGGTCCGGAGGGCGTGGAGTGTGGGGGGCGGTCCCCGACAGCACCAGGTGCGGGAGTCCCATGTGACAGGGAGGAAGCCAGGGAGTTGCTGGGCAGCAGGCAGGATGGAGTTCAGACAGGGGCACACCTCCAGATCTGGCGCAGTAGGAGTGGGCCAGCCCCTCTGAGACGGTCCCCCAGGTGCATCCACTTCCACCGTGCTCCCCACCTGGGAAGGGAATCAATATAACCTCAGTTTACCCCCTCCCCCCACCAGCAGCACTGTAAGGTCAGCATTGGCCCCATTTTATGGATGAGGAAACCGAGGCACAGAGAGGTGAGGTCAGCCCAGCACCAGTGCCTGGCAGGATTCGAGTCGGGTCTGCCCCACTCCAACCTTTCCACTGGTGACCCTGTGACTGCAGGTTACTAATTGCCCCTCCGCTAGCCTGGCTATGACTTGCTGCCACCTCCCTGGCTGAGGGGACGCTATCCTGGGCCGGGATACCCGCCGACTCTCAAGCTGATGGGCAGATGCGACAGCAAAGCTCGGTGGTTGGGTGCCCCAACTTTGGCATCAGGCAGACCTGCGTTTGAATCCAGTTCCTGCTCTCTGCCCTTAAGTGAGTTTTTGTTGGTCTGTTTCTTTTCCGAGTCTCAGTTCTCCCATCTGTAAATGGGATCATCACAGCATCTGCCTGAGAACATTGCAAGGGCTGGGCAGCTGCTGCCAGAGGATAGTGCTAGCAGAGGATAGCTGCTGCTCGCGGGAGGATAGTGACCCTCCCCACCAAGGAGCCCACCACAAGGAACCCCTTCAGACCCTTCCAGGTGACTCCTGCTCTGGATTCATCCCTCAGGGTCCCGCATCTCCCTTCTCAGGGTCTCACTGGTTGTTCTGTTTGTCCCTACTCCCCACCCAGAACCACCCTTGCCTTGCTGGCACCTGTGGGCTGTGTCACGCTGGCTCCCTTCCATCTGCCTTCCGGAAAGGTGGGCCAGTGGGAGGCACAGGCTGGAGATGCCAGAGAGAGAGGAGAGGCAGTACTAGGCACTGCCTGTATTAGGCACTGGGGTGAGAGTGACTGCAGCTCCAGCTGAGGTCCCTTCAGCTCTCACGGCCCAGGTGCCCCCTGCTCCCTCTGTGGCTGAGTCTGGGGCCACCATCAGCCCTGACCTCATTGGGTCTCTCTGAGGTCTTCTCCATTGTCACCCATGCCCTCCCTTCTTGGAACTCTGTCCCTGTGGCCTCCCCAACCCCTGCTACCCTGGTCTCTCTACCTCGTTAACTGTTCCTCACTCCTCCTCCCAGAATGTTGGGACCCGCCCGGGTCTGTCCCCAGCCCCCTGGCCCCCTCACTCCACATTCCTCCCTGGGCAAGAGTGTCCATGCCCCAGCTTCAGTGACCAGACTTCCACTCCCTCCCAGCCCAGCTCTCACGGGCTCTCCACCAGTGGTGCTTAACCTTGTCTCAACATATGTATGCTTGTAACTGCCAAAAGAAAAACCATCCCAGTGCCCTAACTGAAATATCAGAGGCAGGCACTATAGGCCAGTGGTGAGGTGCACAGATGCTGATTCAAATCCTAGCTTCTCCACTTCCCAGCAGCACTGCAAAGTCAGCATTGACCCCATTCGATGGATAAGAAAACTGAGGCACACAGAGGTGAGGTTGGCCCAGCACCAGTGCCTGGCAGGATTCGAGTTGGGTCTGACTGACTCCAGCCTTGGGTAAGTCACCTCTCTGTGCCTCAGTTAGCTCACTCGTAAAAAAGAGACAGCAACGACACCTTACTGCATAGACTTGTCTTGAGGATTAAATGATAATTACACATCAAGCATTTAGAAAAGTGTCTGGCAGTGTCAAGAGTTAAATGAATGTTGATTAAATTAATACATAAAGGGCCAGGTGCAGTGTCTCATGCCTGTAATCCCAGCACTTTGGGAGCCGAGATGGGTGGATCACCTGAGGTCAGGAGTTCGAGACCAGCCTGGCCAACATGGCAAAACCCTGTCTCTGCTAAAAATACAAAAATTGTCTGGGCATGGTGGCACATGCCTGTAATCCCAGCTACTCAGGGGGTTGAGGCAGGAGAATCACTTGAACCCAGGAGGCGGAGGTTGCAGTGAGCTGAGATCATACCACTGCACTCCAGCCTGGGAGACAGAGTGAGACTCCATCTCAAAAAAAAAAAAAAAAAAAAGGCACATAATGAAGGTAATTTAAAGTGAACCATCATTTCAAATTGTAAATACTCCTGTTGAGTACGCTATGCTAGCAGACACAATAAAACAATGAGGAGTGTGCACCTACACAGAACTCCACTGAATGTGACAGTCACAGATGCAGACCAATGTGGAGAAGGTCCTGTTGGCCGCTCAAATCCCACGAGAACATCTGCCATGAAGTATGTAGTTTTTCAAACTGGTGGCAAATCTGGGTAAGGCTCCAAACAAGGCGCAACCATCCTACAACGTGCATGGAAGGCGTAGTTCTGGCAAATCCAGTCTTTGCTAAAAACCGCGCAAAGATGCTCTCCGTTTCTAGGCAAGCCAGACACGTGCTCTAATCTTGGACTATTACAGACAGGTGTTTTCCCTCTGCACGTGTGCCTGGCAGGAAATGCAAGAGTCAAATAGCACGTGGGCCAACCCTTCATGATGGGGACTATCCCTAACATCACAGGGCGTTTGGCATCCCAGGCCCCATCCACTAACTTCCAGTAGTGCCCCCCAGTCATCGTCACTGAAAGCACCCCCACAAGTGCCCAAAGCAATGCCCAGGAGGCCCCTGGGTTCCACACCAACTGCCAGAGGGATTTTTTTCAAACCTCAAATGGTGTCTCTTGCCTGGTGACCCCCAGTTGCATGAAGGCCAAGTCTAAATTCCTGAGGCTCACGCCCAGAGCCCTTCGTAACTCAGTCCCTGGCACAAACACAGATTGGTATCCTCAGCCCTCAGCTCCTACGCCCACCTCTCTACCGTTCAGCAGCTCTCCCTCTGCCCCTACTAAAACACACACACACACACACACACACACCCCTGGGCCAGTGGCC